GCGAGGCGGCCACGCTCTGCGCGGCGGTGTCCGGGCCTCGGCATCTCCTGCCTGCCTGGCGTCTCGGCTGATGCTGAGGGTCGGTGCCCATCCCGCGCCGAGGGTACCCGGCCGGGCCGCGGAGCCGGGCCGGGGGCCGGAGCCGGTGCCCGAGCCTGCGCTCGAGCCGCTCGTCAGAAGTTAAGGTAAGCAGGGCCACAACCGGCCGCTCTCAGCGCTGAATGGCGGAGTTTACGTCTCGGTGATTTATGGCTGCAGACTTAAATCTCGGTTCAAGAAGAGTTCACAAGCCGGAGCTTCCTTCTCGGCAGTGACTGATACCCTTACACTTAGAGTTCAGGCCGCTTTCCCATCCCCGCCCCCACCTCTTCCATCTCCTCTAGCGCAGCTTCAACTTTTCTTGGTTGGGAGGAGGAGGAAGGGGACACAGGGACTCTTACCCCAAGTTCCCGCTCAAATTTGGGGTGAGGGAATGCGGAGGAAGAGGAGGGAGTGGAAAGAGGGATGGAGTTCTGGAAGGAATTTGGGCATATCTTCCAGAGAGACAATAGGGGCTTGCTTCCTGCACTCAATTTAGCTTCCTCAACTCTCTTTCAGCTCTTGCACCCAGGGGTTATTGTCCAGAAACAGATTTTTTGGAGGAATCTCCTCCTCTCCCCAGCCCTTGCTTGGGGGTACAAAGCAAAGTTTCCTGGCTGGCAAATCGCCAACTTCTTTACTAGGTTGCAAACTTTGGGGGCTAGGTTGGGGGGGAGGCTTGAGTTCCAAGGTGGTGGTCTGCCAACCTCAAACAATAGGAAAGGCTTTGGTGTCTCAGAGTTGAATTCCTATTTTAAGTTTATGGGGCTATTGTATACTCTTTCATTTTCAAAGATATTTTTGTTATTTTACAAGACAATGCACAGCTTGAAGAAAAGGCTTAAGTAAGCAGCTGGCTGGTAGACTGTGATAATGGATTAGCAAGTCACTAGAAATATTGCATGTTCAAAATCAACTTAATTTTGTTTTATCTAATATCTTGCTGTTCAAGTGTCTAGAGTAATTTTCTTAACCTGATGTTTTATTTTACACAAGCCTGGTATCTAAAAAATTTATAATGGCAGACATTAACACTGCCAAATGTAATAGGAACTGTTTTCTGTGAAAGAAAAGGAAACTGAGACATGAAATTGCTAGTCAGTTTTAAATTTTATTTTATACTGTATTTGCTTTCGTTCATGGTATGTGTAGCTTCTTATCTATTTCCAAAAGAGAAACAATACTCCAGGGCTCATAATAATGCACAAAAACTTAGGATAAGGGATGCTGTAATTTTTAATTGAGGTTCTTGAAAATTAATTGTGTTTGTTTTCCAGATGTTAGTCAGATTGTTGGTTTAATAATGAAATCTAAAGGAAACCATTATTAAAGATGAAATTATAATCATCCACTGGTAGATGCAATACATTATCTTTTTTTTAGTTAACAAAGTATCTGATATTCCTTGAAAACCTGAATAACTCTGGCACTCAGTGCACATAGTTGGGACATGAAATGTAAACCATTTGCTTCATGAATTCTGTTATTATAATTATCTTCAGTGGTCAGAGGAACTAACATGAGAGAGGGAGAATATATGAAACTTAAATGGAACTTTTCTGTGCTGAGAACCAGAGGTTGACCATGCAAAGGTTGAAAACAAAAAGAAAACATAGAATTCACTTCTGCAAACTGATTTCTAAATAAAAGAGAGCTGAGACGGTTTTCAGTTGCTTTTTAGATTTTCAATGTTATCCTTTACTTGGTGTTTCTGAAGCAGGTAAATAGGTCAAGTAACAAATAATCAACAACAACAACAGCACACAAAGATCAGGGAACTCCGGCAGGATTTTATGGCTTGTGCTTCCATCCCTCGTCCCTAGTCCGGAGCCAAATGACCCCCATACATCAAATTACATAGCAGTTTCTAAGACAGAACCTATTATCGTTAAGTTGGAAGGAGAGTTCAAGCCGTGGTCATGGAGATGAACGCTGGTTTTTCAGGTTCCTGGTGGGTTGGTTTTTTCTCTAATCCATCATGTTTTAACAGGTAGAATTTGATAGTTGTCCTGAATAACAGCACCTCAGAAGGTCCAAGGCAGGAGGGTCTGGGAACCTTCTGTAACTAGGGGAAAGGAGGGGGGGCTTGCTGGGAAGTGTCTGAGAAATAGGAAAGGAGTAAAGGAGTAAAGAACTGTCCAGGATTTGAGTTGTGACTTGCTGGATGGGGTGATGTTGTTGGTTCCTCTCCCTACACACCCCCCACCACACACACAGGCAATGTGTTCCACCTAGAGTTTTTTCTCCCCACCTCCTTGGCCACAAGGGGCTCATTTGGAGGAGATAGGTCATATTCCTGAACAAGGGTGGATTAACTGCCTAACAACCTCAGCTTCTGAAGTCCAGCATGGTCCGATAGTGCAATTGTCTGAAATTTTTTTGTGCAAACCTCTCTTGGAGGCAGGAAGGTCCAAGAAGGGGCTAGGTGGGAAGTCACCCTGTTCTTCTGGGAAATAAGAGTTCTAAAGCGGAGACAAAACTGACGACCCAAGTACCCCTTTGCCTCCTTGCCTCTTCCCCAAGATCCTCAGAGGGAGGCTCTCTGGAGGAGGCCAAAGAGCGGAGAGAAAGGGACACCCCAACTTTCTTCCTCCCTGGAAAAGAAGGAACCCAACCCTGTTGCTTTCTAGCCTATCAGGCCTTTCTCCTTTTGGACCCCCGGCTCCCAAGACTCAGCTTCCAGTCCTTACTCATTCTCCTTCTCTCTCCCCGGAAAATCCCCCAACTCCAGACGCAAGTTAAGCAAATATTTGTAGCTGCCAGTAAATTCCAGCGGCTTTTTATAGCGCAGCTCCCTGCGCCCGGGGCCAAGTCGTGCTGCTAAATATTGCTGACCACTTTTTCTTTTATGGCTTTCATGTCACTTAGCTATTGAGAGTAAGATGGATTTGCGCGGAGCCCTCACCGCGCTACGCTTCTCACCCCCACCCCCAGGTCTGCGCTGGGCGGCCATTGGCGGCGGAGCGTCACGTGACCGCGGGGGCGTGCCAATGTGCGCCCTCACGGGTGTCAAGCCCCCGTCAGAGTGTGCGATCAAGATCGTGAAACAACGCGATGCAAAAAGCGACCTACTACGACAGCTCGGCGATCTACGGTGGCTACCCCTACCAAGCAGCCAACGGGTTCCCTTATAATGCCAGTCAGCAGCCGTACCCGGCGTCCGCAGCTCTCGGCGCCGACGGCGAGTACCACCGACCCGCCTGTTCACTCCAGTCTCCCGTCAGCGCTGGGGGCCACCCTAAGGCGCACGAGCTGAGTGAAGCGTGCCTGCGCACCCTCAGCGGCCCGCCCAGCCAGCCCCCAGGCCTGGGCGAGACGCCCCTGCCCCCGCCGCCGCCCCAGGCCGCGCCCCCTGCACCACAGCCGCCGCAGCCCCCACCGCAGCCCCCAGCACCCACCCCTGCCGCGCCCCCGCCCCCCTCTTCTGTCTCCCCACCTCAGAATGCCAGCAGCAACCCCGCCCCCGCCAGCGCGGCCAAGAGCCCCCTGCTCAACTCGCCCACCGTGGCCAAACAAATCTTCCCCTGGATGAAAGAGTCTCGGCAAAATACAAAGCAGAAAACCAGCAGCTCCAGCTCAGGTAAAGGAGTGCCTTCTGGAGGAGAGTTCTCTGGCCTGGTTCCCAGCCCCCAAGCTGCTTTGCTGCCATGTCCAGCAAAATCTAGGAGCTCTGGAACATTTCCAGGAATTCACTACTTCTTACACCCCACCCCCAAGAAAAAAGGTTTCCAGAGTCTTTGCAACTTAGAGAGGTGGTAGAGCTTTGTGGACTGGGAAACCCCAGAGACCTGATGGGAGTCTCTCTGGACCTTTGCAAGGGCCAGTGGGGCCTAATGCAGTTGGAACCCCTTGTTCCACTTTTGGAATTAGGACTCTAGGCAGAATCAACCTGAGCTCCACTGTCTGTCTTTTTAGCACAGCTCCTCTATTCTAATGAAATAGTGACATCCTCTCCGTACTGAAATGTGGCAGAATAAAAGCAGGTCTAATCACCCTTCAAAACAGAATCAATGCTTTTCCTATAATCGGAGCCAATTTTTTGCTCCAGCAGATGGAGTGGCTGCCTTACCTCTGGGAAGACCCTGCTCAGACTTAGTACAATGAAAGCAGCCAGAGATCTCCTGGGAGAGGGGATGAGGACTTGTCATCCTAATGGGAACCACATGGGCCTCCTGGAACTGGACTCCAATGGAGGAAAAGCCCCAGGCTTTGGACTTCCTAGCATTTTGGTTACCTCTGCCCCTGCATTCTCCAGTTGCCAGTGCTCTGCTCTGGGCCTGAGCATCTTGGACCTCCAAAGCCAGGATTTGGGAGGCCAAGGCGGTCAGGAGGGCACAAGATTAGTGCGCAGAAGCTGGGAGCTGAGGAAGGCTGCTTGATGACATAAAGAACCCTAATGAATAAGACCCAGCATGAGGGGCCTAGGTCTCCCACCAGAAATGAATACTTTCAATGGGATCTCTTTCTTGGGGCAGAGAAGGCCTTTCAGTTTGGGATTTTTACTCTACCCATCTCCTGTGGGTAGATAGAAATAAGTTGAAGCTACTGCCTAATCATTCAGTCAAACAGTGAGGGAGGGAAAGAAGGTTTTGAGTGTGGGACACCTTAAGTGTCCCACATTTCAGTTATTGTGAAGGGAATAAAGATGGTGAGACCTGCCCACTGGGAGCTTGTTGTCTGATAGACCCAAAAGATCAGTATGTAAGTCAGAAAGTTAATAGCTCCACAAAGGAAATATAGACCAGAAGATCAAACTGGGGCTTTTGCTTTTCTGTGCCATCCCGGTGGAGAAGCCTATGATTAGGCCCTTGGCTGAATGAGGGACTAGTTACCTGCACTGTTTCCCCCACCAGGAGAGAGGATAGCACCTAGTTCTTACTTCTCTCTGGGCGGGGACAAAAGGAGGACTGGATATGTGGAGCCTGGAGGAAGTGGGGGCCAGGCTGGGTCAGGGGCTAGGCGGGGCCGCGGACAGTCCTTGACGCCGCTGTTCCTCTCACCTATGTTCTCGCAGGCGAGAGCTGCGCTGGCGACAAGAGCCCGCCTGGGCAGGCTTCATCCAAGCGCGCGCGCACGGCCTACACGAGCGCGCAGCTGGTGGAGCTGGAGAAGGAGTTCCACTTCAACCGCTATCTGTGCCGGCCGCGCCGGGTGGAGATGGCCAACCTGCTGAACCTCACCGAGCGCCAGATCAAGATCTGGTTCCAGAATCGCCGCATGAAGTACAAAAAGGATCAGAAGGGCAAGGGCATGCTAACGTCGTCAGGGGGCCAGTCCCCAAGTCGCAGTCCTGTGCCCCCTGGCGCAGGAGGCTATCTGAACTCTATGCATTCGCTGGTCAACAGCGTCCCATATGAGCCCCAGTCGCCCCCGCCCTTCTCCAAGCCCCCCCAGGGCGCCTACGGGCTGCCCCCTGCCTCCTACCCGGCGCCTCTGCCCAGCTGCGCGCCCCCGCCACCTCCACAGAAGCGCTACAACACAGCGGCGGGGGCCGGTGCAGGGGGCACCCCTGACTATGACCCACACGCTCATGGCCTGCAGGGCAACAGCAGCTATGGGACCCCACACTTACAGGGAAGCCCCGTCTTCGTGGGGGGCAGCTATGTGGAACCCATGAGCAACTCTGGGCCTGCCCTCTTTGGCCTAACTCACCTCCCCCACGCTGCCTCCGGCGCCATGGACTACGCGAGCGGTGGGCCGCTGGGAAGCGGCCACCACCATGGGCCAGGGCCGGGGGAGCCGCACCCCACCTACACGGACCTTACCGCCCACCATCCTTCTCAGGGAAGAATTCAGGAAGCGCCCAAGCTCACCCACCTGTGATGGTGGGCTCGGGGCTACGCGCCAGGAGAGTCTCCCCCTACCCCTCCACCTTTCTTCTTTGGTTGCTTTTTTTTAAGGTTCTTCCTGCCCTTCCGTTTTCTCTCTCCTCTCTCTGCTCCCCCCACTCCCTTCCCCGTCCACCCCCCAACCTTGGTAACGCGTTTTTATAGTTTATGTGACGTAGCAATCTTGGTTGCTGGAATGGCTGTCAGTATCAGTAGCGATATTTATCTCTTCCCGCCCCTAGCTTGGCCGCTGGCCCTGCACCCTTTACCTTCTCCACTCTTTGATCAGAAACAGGGTATATGAACAAATTTTCTAGTCGAGTTTTCAATGTGAATTTGTTCGTACATTATGGCTCCCGAGGGGAAGCGATTACTTTTTTTTTAATTTTTCGTTTTTTAAAATTGCACTTCTTGTAAAGAGCGAGAAAAAAAATCAAAGGCGCTTTGAAACAGGGGCTCCCTGTGCAAGGATGATTAAGTGTACGTCTTTCCGTGTGTGTATGCTGGTGAACAGTCAGATTTATTTATATTTTTTTGCAAGCATTGAATAATCTAAGTTTTAAATATTATTTATCCCCATCCGTTTGTATTTATATTAAAGAAATTCTGTACCCTGATTGTTCAGAAGGGTTCTTGGGCCTTTTGTTCAATGGTGTGTTGGCGTACATAGAAATTTTTTTATTTGAAAGGGAAATATAATTCCTTTATAAAAACGGTAATGATGCAATAAAACCAGAGAGGATTCAGCTTTTGAAAACAGTGGTTTAGGTTTGTAACATCCGGCAAAAATGAAAAAACGGTCTGTAAACGCGAAAACTGCTAGATTTGTTTTGAGAGTTCTACAATCCTTGCTGCTCACATTCTGAGAAACAAAACAAAAAATAAAGTTTTTATTCTGAATAATATCCGTGTTTAGATGGGGTTCTTTGGCCCAAGACCGAGGGTCTGCGTGGAATTTAGGCGGAGGCGAGCTGGCGGAGCAGGCTGTGCGCGGCAGCCCACCAGCTCCGGCTCCGGCTCCGGCGTTGGGGCCTGGCAAGGCAGCTCGCCTGGAAGCTCGAATTCTCCGGACGGCGGCTGGGGTCCTGTTGGCGGCAGCTCCGGCAATGTCTTGCAGCGGGCCCGCTGGGCTGCCTGGTTCCCAGCTGCTGCGGGGGCAGGCGGAGGACTCAGGGGCTGCCCAAGCTGTAGACCGAAGAAACAAAGGCAGCCAGGCCCGAGCGGCAGCGGGGAGCTCACAGGTGCTGGGCAGCCCCGCCGGCAAATAACGCAGGACGGTCTTCTCTTCCACGCTCTTCCTCGGGTCGAAGTGGACCAGCCTACGCCTTAACCCGGGAAGTAGCCATCCGCGCAGAGGATGCCGAGCACTTTCCAGGAGCAATCGGACTTTTGGTCTCCTCAGGGGATGCTTCGCGGTCCAGTATTGCGCCAGGAGGAAAGAATGGCTCCTAAGGTCCCTACGCGGAGAGAAGCAGTTTGAACCGGACTGAGGCTCACTCAGGTCTCCAGCAAAAGGAGGGCCGTGGAGCCCTTCCCTGTGCTGCCTGAATCCCAGCATCAGCTTCCTCCTGAATTTAGTATTTGGCATTCTCTGGATTTATTTCCTCTCCTTCTTCCCTCCCTGCTTTCTTTTTATGACCCCAGGGGGAGGGGGAGAGAGTAAGGAGATTGGTATCTTTCTAATAAAAATACAGTTATATAAGTACTTCTTTCATTTGATGCTACAGGAGCTAAATATTACATTCACCCCTGGATTTAAGATAGGGCTGCCTACTGACTGGCTGGTAGAGGCAAAGGCAGGCACAGTAAATCGAAATATTTTCATCTTAAGATTGAAGGATTGCTCGGAGAAGGAACCAAACTCAGAAAATGCAAACCTCAGACCTGCATCCCCATCATCACCCCGCACAGAGATGGAAGTGAGGAACTGCCTTCGTCTGGGGATCAGGAGCATCTGACGTGAGAAATAAACCCCATTCTCCCTGGATTGTATCTTTCAGAGGCAGAAGTGAAAAATATCGCCATTTTGTTTGCAATTCAAAATATCCATCATCACGGCCTCTATCTTCCCCCGGAGAAGCTCTCTCAGATGATCCCTAGAAGCAGGCAATGAAGCCATATCTGGGTACCTACTGGGTTCCCACGAGCTTCTTTTAGGGAACCTCCTCACGTTTTAAGAAAAAGGATGAAAAGCCAGGCACTCTAGAGAGCTGAGTGTTTCTCTCACACCCAGAAGTGCTTTCCCCACATTTGTCCTGAGGCCCCTGATGTATATATTCTTTCTTTTTAAAGAGTTTGGACTATGGAAAAGGTGGATTTGTTCCCCCCACCCCAACCTCCCTTCTGAAATATGGCGCCCACCTCATAAATGCAGAGGCTGGACAACCAGTCTTTGTGAGGACTGGAGCTTCCGCCTTTTGGTTGTTCACGCTGAGCAGATACAGGAGTCTTCTTTTAAGTAATCATTTTAAAGCATAGTATAACATTACCTGGGAAAATAAGGAACAGTGGGGTGGGGTGGGGTGGGAGGGAGGAGGAGGAGAGAGAGAGAAAGAGAGACAGAGAGATCTCCACCCAAGGATGAAAATCTTTCAGGAATACACTATTGGAACCCATTTCTGAAATCTACTCTTTAGCTGAGGGAAGAATGGTTTGGAGGCTTCCTCCTTCCCTCAGGACAGAGATTTTTAAATGAGATTCTAATATGATTTCCCAAATCTTGCCAGTCAAGACATTCATTTTGGCTTTCAAAGAAAAAATATCGATCTCATCCCCAGCTTCCTAGATATTAAAAAGAAATCCTTATTAAAATACCTTCTGAGTTAAAGTAATAGATTTGGGGAAGATTTTAGTGTTGAGTGGTCAAAGAAAAGCGTTTTCTTCCAGATGGTATTTGAATTAAGGCGGCCGAGGCAGGCAGAATGCTCTCACCCACGCAGCCCCTGACAAAGCCTCAGAGATATGGGGGCAGCGCTGCTTGCTCTCTGCAACCCCCTCCCCTTAACCCCTCAATATTTTTTGGTAAAAACAATGCCAAAAGCCGCCATCCCACAGTCCATACAGCACCTTTCCTAAAAGCAGCCTTATAACCCTTTCCGCTGCCAAAAAATATTTTTTAAAAGCCTAGTTTTCCTTGTTTACTTGCGTTTCCTGCTCTCCTCTTTGCTCGGCCACATTTGATCTTGGAAAGAGCTCGAAGCTGAAATGTGTTCTTAAGGGCCAGAAGCTGTCAAGGCTTTTGGTGAGCAAGATTGATCGCACCCAGACTTCCTTCAGAGCTTTGTTTGGAATAAAAGCAAGAAAACTGAAAAACCTCGCATTTTCCAAAATAGCGTCCCTATCCGTAAGGCAATGCTCTGGGCTAGTCATCGATGTAGGCCACTTTATATCTAATTTCCAACCCCAAACCCCCTTTGATGCCGGCCTCAGAGATGGAGTCAGTCTTTCTTGTTTTCTACATAGATTTTTCTCCCCTGCCAAACTCTCTCTCCCTGGCCATCAGAATGATTTATTTTCCTGCCACTGATGCCTGCCGGCCTGGGGGAGTCTGATCACTTGGTCCATTTCAAAGGAAGCAAAAGCGAATCACCATCCTCAGGGTTTGGGGGGCAAAAGAGGTACCTTAAGATCTATCTCTCTCAGCCTCCTCCCCTCTTTCTGGCTTGGTGGATTTTTAAAAAAGTTATTGCTTGGTACCTAAAGGTGTTATCTTTTGAACCCTCCAGCACCATCCAAGATGCACTCAGTCTCAAGTCTCCGAATTGGAAAAAAAGAGAGAATGAAGGAGAACGAGAACGTTTATAATTCCTCCTTGTGTAACCTCCTTTCCCCTGCAGTGCAATTTCCCCGCAACAAAACCTGGGTGCAAACATCCCTGCTGCCCAAGGATGGGGAAGGTGTGGGAGGCAATTCGGGCTGCCAGGGAGCACTTGCTGCTTGCTGTATCTGAACCAACCAGCCCCCAATCAGAGCGACAAGGACAAGGAGAAGAAGCGTAGAGGAGAGAGAGAGAGAGAGAGAGAGAGAGAGAGAGAAAGAGAGAGAGAGAGAGGGAGAGAGAGAAGGAAGCGTCTTCTTCCCTGCTGGTAACTTCCAACAGACTTCCTGGAACACGGAAATACTCACCGCACCCGAGCCCTACGGGTATGAAACCCAGAATGCCAGGAGCCGCACTCGTCCGCTCGGGGCGGCATTTCTTTGGCTGGCCGCCGCCCTGGCTACGGGGATTTGGACACATGGACCTGGGGTTGCTGTCTCTCTTGGCTCATGCATCTGTCTTTCTTGAGCCAGTCCTGAGAAGTTGACGGCGTAGGAAGGTCGGGAAGCTTCGAGAGCCTCCTCCTGTTTTCCGCTTCCCGCCGGAGACAGATGCAAAGCTGCCCGGGAATAGCCGGCTAACAATGGGCCGGGGGCGCAGACTCCAGGCTGGACATTAGGAGGGGGGCGAGGGGCTGTGGGGAGAAGGAGAGTCGGACAGAAGGGAGAGAGGGAGGGGGAAAGGGGAGAAGAGGAAAAAGAGGGAAAGACAGAAAAGGAAAACAGAGAGAGATCAGTTCTGAGATCCAGGAACCGGTTTTAGAAAAAGTGAGGGAGGAAAAGGGAAAGAAAAGGGAAATGCCCCCCAAATCTTTCTTCTCTTCTCTCTCCATCTCTCCATCTCTCCCTCCTTCTCTCCTCTCCTCTCTCCCTCTGCTCCTTCCTCCTGCCTTAACTGAACTTATGTGGCTGGGATGCGGGGCCCTCGGGTGTCAAAACTTTGAAGATTAATGGATTACTTTGTTAATGACTGCAGGCGTCAGACTGAGGTGCTTAAATGATTTGTGAGGTGCGAGGAGTCTTCCCGACAGTCCCAAACAATGCGCGGAGTGTGCGGGGGAGGCAGAGGGCAGCGGCCGGCGGGACCGGCATCAGGGCTCACGCTCACACACGCTCACATACACTCCCAACACACCAGATCCCTGCTGATCAGGAGGTGGGCAGGCACCCTCACCCCCACGCACTCCCGGGCATCCCCACCCACACCCACTATATGTATTTTTGCCATGAAAAAAAAAGTGTAAATAAAGCCTCGCTGGCCCCCAATGAGGCGTTCCTTCCCGACTTTTTTGGATCAATCAAACAGACAGTGGCTTCTTTTGATTAAAGCCCAAATTGTCATTGGGCAGAAGCAATCATGTGACAGCCAATTCGGTCCAATTTCAACCTTGTCTCCATGAATTCAATAGTTTAATAGTAGCGCGGTCCCCATACGGCTGTAATCAGTGAATTAGAAAAAAAACACCCCAGCAGCGATCTTCTATGATAGATTTTTTTTTCCACGGCGCTCGCCTTTTTCCTGGGTCTTGCCCCCCCAAAGCCCCTCCAAAAGAGGGAACTTTTTATCCGAGGGGGCTCCAAGGAGAAGGCCATGAATTACGAATTTGAGCGAGAGATTGGTTTTATCAATAGCCAGCCGTCGCTCGCTGAGTGCCTGACATCTTTTCCCCCTGTCGCTGATACATTTCAAAGTTCATCAATCAAGACCTCGACGCTTTCACACTCGACACTGATTCCTCCTCCTTTTGAGCAGACCATTCCCAGCCTGAACCCGGGCAGTCACCCTCGCCACGGCGCTGGCGGCCGCCCCAAGCCGAGCCCCGCGGGCAGCCGCGGTAGCCCGGTGCCCGCCGGCGCCCTGCAGCCACCGGAGTACCCCTGGATGAAGGAGAAGAAGGCGGCCAAGAAAACCGCGCTGCCGCCGGCTGCCGCCACCGCAGCCACCGCCACCACCGGCCCTGCTTGCCTCGGCCACAAAGGTCAGTCCAAAGACTTGGCCCCAGGTCCCCAGGACCCTGTTCCCTCTCTGGGCTGCCCCGAGAGCGGTGGTTGGGGGAGGGGAGCGTGGGTTGGGAGAGAAGGGGGAGAGGGAGAGATGCTTGGTTGCCTTTTCCCTGCCCCTGTGGGCTCAGGAGTGGGTTTGATGGAGAGGAAAGGGTATCCTATGCTCCACAACGAGATATATATTTTTAAGAAGGGAGGGGGGGAAACTTTTCCTAACTTGTGTAATGTGGGATGATTTATTTGAGTTGGAACTGACCTCCTCTTGTCTAGTTGTCCTAGAGTTTGGCTTTTTGACAGTAATGAAGAGTGATAGATCGCTCTTGCTCAGCTAAGCAGCTGATGCATTAATTATAAATTGTGTTGTGGCTAATATAAAGTTTGCTCCCGGATGAAGAGGTTGGGGGGAGCTACAGGCATGAATCTGATAGAGGTGGAGGAGATGGGGTCTCCCCAGGCTGGGCTCCCAGGAAAGCAGCACAATAGCTCTACTGCATCCAGGGGCGGCCATTTTGTTGCAGTTGATCTTTTCTGCTATATTTATTCTCCAGTGGAATAACCCCGCTCGGACCCCACCATCTCCAACTGTGCGTGTGTCTCTTGTTGGTTTCCCTTTCCGCAGAATCCCTGGAAATCGCCGATGGCAGCGGCGGGGGATCGCGGCGCCTGAGAACTGCTTACACCAACACGCAGCTTTTAGAGCTGGAAAAAGAATTTCATTTCAACAAGTACCTTTGCAGACCCCGAAGGGTGGAGATTGCAGCGCTGCTGGATTTGACTGAGAGACAAGTGAAAGTGTGGTTTCAGAACCGGAGGATGAAGCACAAGAGACAGACCCAGTGCAAGGAGAACCAAAACAGCGAAGGGAAATTTAAAAGCCTGGAGGACTCCGAGAAAGTAGAGGAGGACGAGGAAGAGAAGTCGCTGTTTGAGCAAGCCCTTAGCGTCTCCGGGGCCCTTCTGGAGAGGGAAGGTTACACTTTTCAGCAAAATGCCCTCTCTCAGCAGCAGGCTCCCAATGGACACAATGGCGACTCCCAAAGTTTCCCAGTTTCGCCTTTAACCAGCAATGAGAAAAATCTGAAACATTTTCAGCACCAGTCACCCACTGTTCCTAACTGCTTGTCAACAATGGGCCAGAACTGTGGAGCTGGCCTAAACAATGACAGTCCCGAGGCCCTCGAGGTCCCCTCTTTGCAGGACTTTAACGTTTTCTCCACAGATTCCTGCCTGCAGCTTTCAGATGCAGTCTCGCCCAGTTTGCCCGGTTCCCTCGACAGTCCCGTAGATATTTCAGCTGACAGCTTTGACTTTTTTACAGACACACTCACCACAATCGACTTGCAGCATCTGAATTACTAAAAACATTAAAGCAAAACACAGCATCACAAAACAAAAACCCCCTTGACCAGGTGGTTTTGCCTTCTTTTATTCTGAGAGTTGATTTTTATTTTATTTTCTTCCTGACCTACCCCCTCCCTCCTTAAAACGTTGAGGATTTTGTTTAGTGATTCCCCTGACTCGGTTTCAGAGCCATCTCTTACAGATTATTTGGGAGTTTCAGTTGTTTTAAACTTAATCCAAGAACCCTCTATGTGATTTCCTAAGAGCAATATATGAGGCCTGCAAGAAAGTGATCATATAATTGTATCTTCACTTTCTTTTTATTTTTGTATTACACTAGGATGCATTGTCATGCGTATTTTTGGTAGAATAAATTCTCCTTTGCTATAAGTAGCTTTCTTATTTTTCTCCCCCTCTTTCTCAAGGCTCTTAACAGTTTATTTTTCTTCTTTTAGTCTAACTTGGTAAATAAAATTCTGGTCATAATTTATCTTCTTTTTCAATTTTAGTATATTTATTAAGGCGGCATGTTCAAAGTCTTCGATAGAGAGCAAAAAAAAAAAAAAAGCCAGAAAATGGCTAGGGCTTCTGACAAGTGTTTTTGTTTTGTTTTGTTTTTATTTTTGTTTTTTGTTTTTGAAAGGAATCGAGTTGGTTTTCAGTGTACAGGTTCAAGCCATAGATTAAAATTGGTAATAGAAACAAGATTGGGCAGCCTAAGATTTGGGCCAAGCCCAAGCTCTTGAAAGTAGAGAAATAAAGTGCCTACAGAAACCCCCAACTTCAGGAATGTGTAACATGGAGTTTCTCTAACAAGCTACCAGTGTCCAGGTCAATAACTAAGTTATCAACAACTCATTTATTTATACACTTTTATACACGTTTGTTTCAAACATCTACATTTCAACTCCCTTCCCCACAAATCCCTGCACATTCTCAGTGTGGACGATTAATCTCCCAGCTGTTGATGGGTTCAGGCAAAACAGACCTAAAAGATAGAGAAAAACAAAAATAAAACAAAACATTGGTTACTAGGCTGGAAAATGCACTTAAGAAAAGGTTCTTTCCAATCCTCTGGTCCAGTCATTTTAGGATTCTTTTTTCAGGGTCAGAAAAATCAATATTTCATTCTTAAATTTGTTTACATTGCTAATAATGGATCATTAAAGCTTTGTCAGGTTAGCAAGTTGAAATTTTAAATAGAATGTTTCTGCACCCCAGGTTATAAATTAACCCAGTTTCTAGAGAGAGAAAGAGTAAAAGCACTTTAAATGAAATATCAATAAAATATGATCTAGGGTATGTTACTGGGTTGTTCTGTTTTTTTCCCCCTTTCTTATGTCTCTCCATATTTATTTTTCCATTTCTGAGCTCTGTTCTGATCGCTACTTACCGTGAGAAAACGAAGCATGTAAGCAACATGAGTGTGGGGCGGGTTGATTAAAGAAGCCAGCTCTTAACAGCAAAGACTTGGAAGTTGCAATGAAATTGCAGTCTTTCTTGTTTGTTCCCTATCTTCCCTCAGCCCTTCACCAGCTAAATCCCAGCAGCGGCTGAAGGGTGTGGGGACTGCGGTCGGTTTCCGGCCACAGGCTCAGCGCCGAGCAGGGCGTCCGGGCCCGGCCAGGGCTGCGCCGCTCCTGGATGCGATTCGTCCTGGGCTCATAAATCAAACGCTTTCTATGAATGAGAATGTCATCAAAGAGATCAATTGCAGGAACACATGCACAAATAAAAATCCTCTTACGTATTTGCCGGGGATCCCCGTCCGAAAGCATTAAGTTAGAAGGCGTTTAGTCATAATTCATTTTTATTGCTCTCTTAAAACAACAGCTTGGCTGAGCCGCGGATGCCATGAACAGCTCCGGGCCTCGGTGGCGTTTTGTTTCCTCCTCGCTCCTTTTCTTTCTAGTAGAAGAGCCCTCAAAGAGGCGCTTTGAGCCAAGCGAGCTGCTTGCAGATGATCATTTTAATCGTGACCAAGCTCGCCTTTCACCCACTCTGCCAGGGCATTTAAAGAGACTAGCTCGAGTCCTGGAGCGCTGGCCTACTTGCCCAGAGGACCAAGGGTCTCCTACACCTCGGAATGACCCCCAGGATTTCTTGGGGGAAGTGGGGGGTGGGGAAGGAATCAAGCTACGGAAGCCTACGGGCTCGAGGCCAGGGGAAGCTGCCTTTGTGAGCAGCTCCCGGAGAGCGGCGCTCTGGGCGGCCAGCCCAGGAAGAGGCGGCTCGGCTGCAAGCGCCTGGCCTGCGGGAGCCGGGAGCAGGGCACGGAGGCGGGACAGTCGCTGGCTTGTATGTCTGCGGTCCTGTGTGTGAGTGCACGCTTATGATCCCAAGAAAAACACCCCACCCAGGCTGTCCCCGAAAAGAGGCTAGGCGAGAGAAAGAGAGGTGGAGGGAGAGGAGCGGGGAGGCGGCGAACTAGCCCCGGAGAGAGAACTGCTACGGCCCGGGGCGGCTTTGTGGCAGGCGCCGGGCAGCCGAGAGGGTCGTGCAAACTCCGGCAGAGGAGGCCAACAAAGGTACAGGAATGAAGCAAGGGGGACGGTGGGGGAGTGGGGTGGAGAATGTACCGAGGGGCTCCGGCCTGGAGAGAGGATCGCCCACACTGCCAGCATAGTCCCTCTCACATCCTGCCCCCTCCCCCACAGGAGCCTCTTCTCTCCCCGACGCTGGCGGCCTGCCGCTCCCAAGGAAGCCGCCTCCAGGAGGGCTGCCTTGCCTTTTCCCTTCTCCAGGGTGAGGATTCCCAGGAGCTGAATTTGGGGCAGGGGGGAACTTTCCTGCCCGTGCTCCTTCTTAATCATGCTTAGGGATGAGTCAAAGGTCACAGAGAAATATCATTCCAAAAGGAAATGTTTGGGGAAAATGTTTGATTGCTACTGAGGGCGTCCAAAGTCAAAGGTCTGCATAGATATTCCCTCTTGAAGGGACAGGTTTGAGGGGAACTTCTACATGTAGAGAACAGAACACAGACGCCTGAAGGGGGGACTAACACATTTGAAATGTCCCTGCCTCCAGCAAAACTTCCTTTTTCTAACAAGGGAGGGAAGGCTGGAGAGGAGCCAGAACCCTAAACCCACGTAAAATCCTCACTGTAAATTTCATCTATGTGATTCCAGTGTTGTACACATGGTTGCAGTAAAATTTATACAGTATTGGCTGCAAAGTTTCTTGGATGATCTCTGGATTTCTCCTATCTAGGACTGCATCAGTTCTTGGTGTCAACCCTGGGCTTGTTCGGCCTTTTCTCTCTACAAGCCCAGGGTTGACATGAAACCTAATTGTAAACAGCAATTAACGACCCCATCAGCATCAGGTAGAAAGAGGGTGATGGAGAACAGGACCCCTGGCCTGGGATGACACTCAGATTTGCACATGTCTCTCTGGGGACTTAAAGGTTCACATAAGCAACTACACAGCCAGTTGCAAAGGGGAGGAGGTGTCGTTGGAGAAGAGGAAAGTGTCCTGTCCACCATTAGCCATCTGTCCACTCCCCCCCACCTGCCAGTTCCCACCGCCCACTCCAGACGTGCAGTAGAATTAGGGGTGGTGGCAAGAGGAGGCTCTCCCATTCCTAATATCTCCCTCCAGAAAAAGAGAAACGTGGAGGGGGTAATTCAGCACACTTTGTTGGAGCTGTGGTCCGACCCTTTGAGGCCCGTGCGGGAGCGCGCAGGCTCCAGGGGCTTGGGGAGCCGGCAGATGGCCTGCAGCGCACAGCTCGGCCCCCACGCTGGCCACGTCTGCTAGCGTCATCTTTCTCCCCCGCCTCCTATCCCTCAAAATCCAGGGGCCGAGTAGCTCCAGATCCCTGAGGACTCCCGGTGCAAATCTGAGCCGGGGGCGGGAGGGGCGGAGAGCTAGGGGAGAGGGAGGGCGGAGAAGAGCCGGGCCACCACCGGCCTTTTCCGGCGAGCTCTGTTTCTGGGCCCTTCCGCCCCCGGGGGTCGAATTACAGAAGCTCCTCATTGCCATGCTAATAGTGAGCAGGGATTGTGGGGAGAGGGCTTAAGAGACCCACCATGGAGGAGGGAAGTTTCGTTTCTTGTCCTCTTCTCCTCCACGCCCACCCGGGTTCCTCCCAGCCAGCCCTTTGCACACTTCCCTCTTCATTCCGAGCTTGCAGAACCGGCGGCCCAGCCTCGCCCTCCGCCATCGTTCTCTGTGCTCCTCACAGCCTCACGGCCTCACAGCAGGGCCTCGCAACAGTGGAAGCGCCCCGGGAACCTGGGGCGCAGTGTCGGCCAGATTCCCACCCTTCCTGCTCCGCGCGCTCCAGCCTCGGCCGGTGTCCTTGTGGCCACCCAGCGAGCTCTGGCCCATTGATTCCCGCCCCGAGAAAGCCAGGAGCCCTCTTTCCTTCTCACCTCTTGCCAGTTCATCTTTCTGCGCATGGTGGGGAGAAGGTCAGGGGCAGGAGATGCCTCTCAGCCCCCACCTCCCAGAGGGGGGGGGGCGAGCGGAGTCGGGCGCGCGCAGAAGGCGGCTTCTGCTCTCCTTCGCCCCAGAACTCCGAATCTGCCGTTGCAGCCACAGCAGCTGCCGCCGCCGCCGCAGCTGCCTGGGGGGGCGACTGCGCGTCACCTAGACGGAGGAGCGCCGGGGATTTAAATGCCACTGAAACGGTGATCCATCACCGCCGAAGCCGGCAAACTTTCGCAGGAGGCTCAGCCATTGGCTGACAAAGTCACGTGCCCCTCCCCTAGCGCCCTCCGCCCTCCCGCCCCCCCTCTTGCGCACTGTACATTCATATCATTTTTCTTCTCCGGCCCCATGGAGGAAGTGAGAAAGTTGGCACGGTCACCCAGGGCTTCGCAGGACCCGGTCACTCAGTGACAGATGGACAATGCAAGAATGAGCTCCTTCCTGGAATACCCCATCCTCAGCAGTGGCGACTCCGGGACCTGCTCAGCGCGAGCCTACCCGTCCGACCATGGGATTACAACTTTCCAGTCGTGCGCGGTCAGTGCCAACAGCTGCGGCGGCGACGACCGCTTCCTAGTGGGCAGGGGGATGCAGATCAACTCGCCCCACCACCACCACCACCACCACCACCCTCACCATACCCAGCCGGCCACCTACCAGACTTCCGGGAACCTGGGGGTGTCCTACTCCCACTCGAGTTGTGGTCCAAGCTATGGCGCGCAGAACTTTGGTGCGCCCTATAGCCCCTATGCATTAAATCAGGAAACAGACGTAAGTGGTGGGTACCCCCCATGCGCTCCCGCTGTTTACACTGGAAATCTCTCATCTCCCATGGTCCAGCATCACCACCACCACCAGGGTTATGCTGGGGGCGCGGTGGGCTCGCCCCAGTACATTCACCACTCATATGGACAAGAGCATCAGAGCCTGGCCCTGGCCACGTATAATAACTCCTTGTC